CGCTCGGAGGTCGTGGGGCGATGAATGTTCATGTCACTCGATTGGCGCCTGCCTTTCGCAGTCGTTGGTTGATTGAGATGAAGGATCGCCCAGGTCGCTTCAGAACAGAGACAGTGACCGACAAGCCTAAGCCACGAACAAACATCGTAGCTGAGGATGAGGAATCCGAACCTTGGGAGGTGCAGTACATACTTGATGTGCGAAAGCGCGGAAAGGAGCCCACCGCTAAGTTCGATTTCCTCGTCAAGTGGAATCTGTTGCCTGAAAGCCAAGCAGAATGGATTCCAGAGGAACAACTCGATTGTCCACACTTGGTCAATGAGTTCATGATGAAGAAGCGTACTGTTGATGCCAACAGGGCGTCGAAGAAGTATGAGAAAGTGATGAGAGCTGGTGTGCAGCCGAAGGACCATATGGATTGGGTGCCTGACTCAATCCCATTGCCTCGGACAGTGACGGGCCACAAGCAAGACAGTGTGCCTGCCTGGCCTGACATCAAAGAGGGTCAAATTCTTCATCTGTATTACCTGCCAAGCAAAGGGCTTCGTTATTGGGTGTCAATTGAGAAGAAGACACCTGAGAAGATAGAAGTGCTCTTCTTGCCGAAGAGCTCCAAAGTAGAAGTGGCTGATGGTGTCTATCAGAGCCCTGTGAACAAAGTAGCCGAGTTCTCACGAAAGGAACTTGAGAATTTCTACTCGTGGGACCTCGTGCCATCTACCTTTCGTAAACTAAAGCCGAGTCGTCCGTCGCGCAGACGGACTGGATAAGTTCGTTGGCAGCGGGGACGTGCCAGCTTATTGAGGGGCGAGCTGTGGCGACGCTCGTGGCTTGTATGAACACAGACCACTTGGCCGCTCACAGGATGCCTGACAGCAGCAGAGACACATCGAGAGAGACGTATCAGATTGGTCTGTATGCGTGCCCTCACTGTGTGTCGGGACGTTGATGTTCATGTATGTGTTGGACACATGCATGCTGATTGATGAATGGTTCGTCGTTTGTGATGGACGAGTTGATGGTTGCGCAAGATGCAGTCATCGATTGATCGATCCATTCATTGCAAGTTCACATCGCATACACACACGTGTCTACGTTTGTGTGTGTGTGTTTATTGGTTACTCATTCGCTACTCAGTGACAAGAAGCTATGCATGAAGCGCTACCGGTTGCTCTATCGCTGGTGCATGGCTAGTTGGCTGGCTGGCTAGAGGAAAAATCGCCAGTATCAATCAATGTGGTTGGTGGTGAGCTCTCTCTGTGACCCACCCACCCACACGAACACGAAAATCAACATGTAACTGCGATGACGGCATTCAAACGCCGATTCAAAGCACAGACAGCTGAGGCTGGTCGCCTCGCATGCGTACGTATATGTATGTATGTACGTATATGTACGTATATGTATGCAGACGTATGCAAGTGTGCAAGTAGGTATGCAAGTATGTATGTGGCGACATGCATTCATGCATCCCTCTTCCCGCGTGCGTACGCATACCATGACCAGGTCCTTGCCTGGGGGACGGTGTGTTGATGAGCTCAGTTGTGGCGATGAAGAGAACTAGTACCCAGCCGTCGAAGTCGTCACTGAATAGAGACGCAACGATGAATGATGGAATCACTGATTGTCATTGTGTCGTGCATGCAAGGATTGAC